GGTAGTGCACTCCCAAATAGGCAGGTCCCTGACCATACCCAAAAGTCATCATAGGGTCAGTCCCTGACTACCCCTCCGACTAACCAAACTAATCCATTAATTATTAATTATGGTGAATTATGAAAGACGTTATTAATTAACAATAATTAATGCATCAAATACACCTTTAATTAACCAATTATGAGAATTACAATTAAACTTTTATGAAATTTTCCACTTAACCATCACGTGGTCGAGTAACTTAAATTATCTTCAACCACAATCCATATGTCCTATAATAGAACCTACTGATACTAGTCAAATTGCATTTATATATGTGTATATATATATATATAATATTATTCATGTGGTTTAATGGTCACTAACCCATATCACCTTACTCACGTTTTCCAACAAACAGTAATGTCATTTCAATGCTAGAGAAAGTAAAATAATTAAATATAATTCTATAATTACCTGTAATCAAAACCCAGCCCAGCAGTGATCAAGTTACTTTGTTTTTTCTTTAAGTATAGATATATTATTTAATAGATAACCATGGAACCAATGATTACACCTAAACATATATTTTAGATGTCTTAAAATTCAATACTGATAATCAACTATATATACTTACAGATATACACGCATATACAGAATGCCCAGAGACCCAACACTATAATTTTCATGATTACAAACAGACTTAATAAGTAATATCATGTAAGTAAATATAAAATTTATTGCATTTATATATAAGTCCATTACACATTTAATCTATACTTAATTGATACTCAACATCAGAAATTCATAATTCCACCTGCTAAAACTCTAAGCCAGCTCAATAGACTAAGTGATGAATGAGTCTACATTAAGATTTCATACATCAATATATATGTAACTAAATTTATATGTCAGTTAAGTTTCTGAAAATAGTATAACAGTGTATTATATATATGTATGAAGATATATATATATATATATATATATATATATATATATATATATATATATATATAGATGTACTCATTAATGACCATTCACACAAATTACAGAATAAAGACTTACATCAGGATAGCATACAATCCATACACGAATGTTACTATTTAACACAGAGCATTTGAATTGCTCAATTACCAATTATAACTGTGTATGTAAATGTAAGACCAATATATATAAACGAATAATGTACAACTATCTTCAACAAGTGCTTAATATTCACAAAATGATCTGTATACTATGGAACACAGAATTCAAAATTTAATATTAAAACTTTAATAAGCAAGTCAGTCGTATATATAAAATTATAAGGCAAGATTAACTTGCCTAAAAAAAATAACGATACTCCTTATTCACGTATGTGACCTTTAATCACCTCTCCTTTCAGCCACTGCAAAAGGTTGACCATGCTTAGTAATCGATACCCAGGAATTAACGTGATAAGAGTTTAAGGCAGGTTTTGAGAAAAATGGTGCTTTTCTTTTCGTTTCCTCACCCAATACAATACAAACTCTATAATATAGATATTATCCTTAGAGTTTTAAGTCAAATAAAACTCTTTTAAAATTCAAAATAATAGGATAACACAACCATAATCCGTTCCTAAAAACATACATTTCTTATTTAATTATTTTTATTTATTTATTTTTTAGAGATATTACATTAATCTTTTTAAGCATTTATATATGGTCGAATTTATTGTCTAATTATCCTAGAATTGTCCTAGACATGTACATAACACGTTATCTAAAGGAAAGAGTTAGAAGAAGAACTTACCTTAAGGTTTCGGATTGAAAACCTTAACTCCCTTCTTCCTCTGGTTGCCTTCTCAGTCCCTTGTTGCTCCTGGTTCAACTCATGAGCAATCCTTCCTCATCTTCCTTGGTTCAGCCTTCTCCTTGGCCAAGACCCTCTATTTCTCTCTCTGTTTACTCTCTATTTTCCTTTCTATTTCTCGCTCCTCTCTGTGTTTGCGTGAATAGGGTTTCCAACCCTTTCGCTATATATATAAAACACTATACTTCTAATCTAACCCCAAATTTAATTACCTTAAAGAATAAGAAAAGAAAAATGAAAAGAATAAAATAGAGAAATAAACTATACATATATACATAAGTCTTCTGCCAAACGTGATATATATATATATATATATATATATATATATATATATATATATATATATAAATAAAACATTAATAACTATACATATATGTATATAACTAATTATCCTTCCATTCTTATTAATATTAATAATAAAAACAATAATAATAAGAATAATAGGATTAATATTATCCTTATATATATACATATATATCTATATATATACTCCCTCTATTTCAGAAAGAGTGTCATGTTTGGGGAACTGTGATTCATAACTCTCACGAGTCACAGTTCCCCAAACATGACACTCTTTTTGGGATGGAGGGAGTATATATATAAATTAATATCATTGGGTAATTATCCATACCCATCAAGCCTCCTATCCAAGTAGTCCATGTGACTCATTGGGTTAGTTCATTACTACTATCCAAATTCAACTCCTTTAAAAATATAAAAAAAAAAAATTGAATCATTTAATCCTAACACTTAAATACAAATAACTTCACATCATTTAAACAAGCAAGTCAATTAACAAATTAATAAAAATATACCATTTAAGCACACAATTAAATTAAATAATTAATTCAATTAAACATATAAACAATTAGTAAAGAAATCAAATAATCAATTAAAATACAATAAAATGAATAAATAAATCTTAAAACTATCATTTTAAAATTAGGGGTATTACACAATATGCCACGTAAAATTGTATAGAAAAAGACTCCCTTAACTATTGTCCTTTTTGCAAATAACCCTCTCAACTACAAAATGCCCTCTTGAAGTAATGATTCGTTGTAACTAAGGATATACCAATCCAAAATACTGTTTTACCGATTCTTATTAAATTATCTTTTCCTTATCTAAATATTATTATACTATTTACCTTAATTTTATTATTTGTGCCAATTTATCATAATAATGGAAAATGCAAAAAGATGTAACTTCCACCAAATTTAGCCATTTTCTAAAATGATTAATTTATTATTAAAATCTTAATGTTTAAAATAAAATTTGTTTTACTCAATTTAAATTTCTTTTCAGGGAGGAAAAAATACTTTTTTTCATATAATATTATATTAATAAAAGAATAATAAATTACTTAAATAAAAAAATTATTAGCCTTTTTCATGCCATATATTCATTAAAATTTAAGAAATTACTAAAAATTTTTTTAAATTTTCTCCTTAAGATTTTTATTAAAACAATTAATTTCAAGAATTAAAAGTAAATTTATGCAAATTTGATGGGAAATATGTCATTAAAATAGTATTTTTTTGGGGAAAATTAGACTTTGGTGACCAAAATTAAACAAAATTGGTATAAAGTGACCTTAAAGTCAAGTAAAGATGAATAGTCACCAAATCTAAACCTTAATTGCTAAAAGGTGACTATACGATAGTTATTACGTAAATGTCCTTCTTATAATATATTATTTTATAAGTGAACAAATTTACCCTATACATTAAACCCAATAAACACGTGCTTATTATTATAAATGAGTAATTTTTGAATTGATATGATCCTTTGGTTATATGTCACCAAATCATACAACAAGAAGGTCACAAATCCAGCTTGAGGGAAAGCACTAAAACAAGGGCTCGCAGCCCTAAAAGAGCCTTGGAATGACAAGAATGAGTGACCACAACTCTAGTATGATAAAAGAGCCTTTCTATAGCCTTTACCCCATCCTTTAGCATGCACTAAGGTCCCTAAGCAATACCAACCCACCATTGCAGAAGACTCGCTAATGGCTATAGAAAAAAGAATGCAAAAGGATGATATATTAGGGCAATATAGTCGGAGGACCTCACCCCTATAAATATTATATAAAGAGTATTTGGGGATTGAATTTCCAAATTATCCTTAAATATTATTCTTGATTTGCCACTATAAATATTTATGTTTTGCGGCCATGGTGATAAAGAAACCCTGATTTTTTAAAATTGATAAATTGCAAACTAAAAAGGGAAAAAGAAAACAATGAATTAGAGAGAGGGGAGTATGCTGAATCTAACGATTTATTCTTTGAATTGGATGGCAATTTTGTCATGTAAAATTTATTTTTAGAATATTTATCATATCTTTAAGTTTGTTTTGACCAAATTATCCTTAAATGGTCACTTACTAGCAATTAAATTTCAACATTGGTGACTATTCATCTTTTCTTGACTTTATGGTCACTGTAGAGCAATTTTGTTTAGATTAGGTCACTAAAATCTAATCTTCCCTAATTTTTTTCAGACTTTATTTTATGAAGAAAAATGTATTAAGTATAATTCAATAAGAAAGAGCATCTTGATCATTTAATAAAAAAATGTGATAGTTCATGGGGTATATATTGTGTCCAAAATTTAGTGTAGGGAGGCTATTGACATATTTGGACATAGTTCAGTTTTGTTTTTTGTTTTGTTTTTTTGTTTTTTAAGACTTTACCGATAATATTCTAATGGTAATAAGGGTAACATTGTCATTTTCAAATTACAACCTAATTGACGAGCCTATTTAACTGGAAAAATCAAATAGAACAGTGACACCATGTGTTCTTGGTAAAAATGAAATAATTGAGGAGATTTATTGTAAAAATAGAAATTCAGGGGGTCTGCATTTTATCGTATTTTATACATATATAATTACTGAAACCAACATTACTTTTAAATGTTATGCACACACACACACGCAATTAAATATGCCTTGATCTGTTTTACAACAATATCACACAATTTGCTCCAACTTTTCAGCTTTTGTGAAAACCACCAACATAAAGATCTGAAGAAGTGAAGAAACTATTGGGCCTCACACTTCATCAATCTAATACAACATATATAACATATAAACAATCATATATATTAGTTGAACCATTACTTCTTTGAAGTATATTATTATATATCAACCATGAATAGAAGAAGAACACCATAAAGTCATCAAATTTCATCATCCCATAGCTCTTCAAGGCTCTTGTATGGGCTTGTTGTTTCATTTACAAGGAAGTCTCCTCTCATTATCTTCCACTCCTCCATCTTTTCGATATTGCGTAAATCATGGTCGTCCAATCTCAAATCAAGGGCTCTCATGTTTTCCTTCATTCTCTCTTCGTTGAAGCTCTTCACTATCACACTTGCTCCCTTGGACAATCCCCATCTTAATGCAGCCTTCATATAAAGATTTAACAAAAGGCCTTTAGACAATGTATATGCTTGTTAATGTTTTTAAAATAAAAAAATAAAAAATAAATAAAAACATTAACTATGTCTGTATATGTTGATGATCCTAGATCATGTGGTGGGGTTTAATTAAAAGTATTCAACTGAAAAAGTGAACTTTTAAGGGTATAATAAAATATTAAAAAATAAATAAATACTCCCTAATAATCAAGAATCATTTATATATATATATATTCTAAAACTGGGGTATAAAACAAAGAAATCAAGGACGAGTGATTTAGTGATAACATGAAATTAATTAGGTGATGTTGCATATATAATGCGAGAGTTTCGGGAATTGCTGACACACCTGAGCTGGGGTTGCGTTGTGCTTGAGAGCAATGGCTTGGATGATTGGGTTGTCCACCACAGCCGTTGATCCCCAAGAATTCCCTGGCCCACCAAGTGGTGAATATGCACTTACATGGATATTGTGGTCCCCACAGAACTCTCTTAGCTTTGTCTGCCTCCACGTTGGATGCATTTCCACCTGGCCAAAGTACATTACAAGAAGATCTATGTCAACCCTTTTTTTTCATAATAAAATCGTAATGAAGTTTAATCTTTGGTACTATTGTTTACAACAATACTTTTATTTTTATTTATTTTTACAATTCAAGGTATTTGAGACTCCGTTCTGACTAATATTCAAAAATTTAGGAAGTGCGTTTTTTCACTTTAGGCTGTGTAAATTGCTAAGTATGACAACAGAAGTGAGACTTCAAATAATTATAAACTCCTAATGAGAATTAAACTCCAGACAGACACCGAAATCCAAATTATTTTTACCGTCAACCTCTTAGAATTTAACACTAATCATGATGTGATCATTAAGACGAACGTGAATTATTGAGAGGTTAAATCGAAAATTAACTAGTCATGTTGGGTGGCAATTGAAAATTACTGAATGGTATGAATTTTCCAATAATTCGAGACGTACCTGATTGACAGCTGGTGCGACAGAAGCAAAATCTAAGAGCCGTTGGATCTTTCTAGATGAGAAATTGCTTACACCAATGCCTCTACACAAGCCCAAATCCAAGCATTTCTCCATCCCAGACCATGTGGTCTCCAAATCCAATTTTTGGAAGTCATCTTCATTGGGCACAGGATTAACAGCCCAAGGCTTCAGCTTCACCGGCCAGTGCACCAAGTACATGTCCACATATTCCATCCCCAAGTTCCTACAAAAACATATTTATGATACATTATTCTATATACATATATGTATCTATGTTTGTATATAACGATACACACACCCTCATAATTGAGATTGTTAGTTTAATTACTATGTGGTTTGTCAATATTACTATACTTTTGAGATCCATCGTAATCTTCTGACACCCAATATTTCATGCAAGTTACTTTGGGAATATTTTTTGGGATCCACAATATATATCCTGAAATCAATAACTTTTAGTTTACTCTTTTGTTTTTGTTTTAGTGGACGAGACCTAATGAGATGCTACTGAAGTATTAAAAATTCATGCATGATAGCTGGAAATGATACTCATATCTAAATTAAGCAATAGGGGGCATTTTAATGCTATACACACATATATATACACACATTATATATATAAATAATGTAATATCATCGGTGCATGATTTTTTTTTTTTTTTTTTTTTTGTTGAGACAATAGTGAATGTATATGTTGGATGTCATTTTAGACGAAGATTTTTGCTAATTAACAAATGAATTACCACTCTCTCTGTGTGGTGATAGATGAAGAAAGAGCAGAATGGTCTTTTTAGAAATTTCATAATACAAAATGTATTGAGAATTATGATTCTTACTGTAAAGTTTGTTTGAGTCCAGAAACAGGATCATGATGATCACTTCCCCACAGTTTTGAAGTGACAAAAATGTCCTCTCTCTCCACCACCCCATCAAGGATTGCTTCTCCTAAAGCATTTCCCACTGCTGGCTCAGAGCCATATATTTTTGCTGTATCAAAATGCCTGTAACCCACCTGCATATATAGAGAAACCAAACACACAATATTATATATAACCATTTTCATGCTAATTAAATTCTTATATCAGAAAAGAAATACAAAAACTACTATTAAAACTGAAAACTTCTGTAATTATATATAGCCTCCTCATCTTCAAAGAGGGAGTAGTTCGAACTGAAGTGTGTACAAAAGTGTGTGTGAGTGGTTACCTGACCAAATATATATATATATATATATATATATATATATATATATATATATATATATATATATATATATATATGTTCACAAATGTCTTGAACTTCCTTTGTTTGCAATGCCCACAAATAAAAGCTTGTTGAATTAACAAAGAAATTAAAGTAAGCTAGGGTTTTACCTTGAGAGCCATTTGGATTGCTTCTTCTGTTTTGTCTCTATCATTTTGCCAAGAATAAGTGCCAAAACCAACTACGGGTATGGTTGTGCCACAGTTCAACCTTACCTGATTGCACTTCATCTCTTTTTTCCCCCTCTCTCTAACACACACAGTCTCTCTACACAATTAGTATATGTAACTCTCTCTGTGTCTACATATTTATATATATACACACAAAAAGTCAACTACATGACAGTAGTTATATAATTTCTCAAGATATTGCACCGCCTATATATATATATAAATATGATAGTACTCCTGATGTTACATTTTAATCCTATATGTAGGAGTTAATAAAAGATTGATGTGGAGTTAAATAATTGTACATATCAAGGAATTTGGATTTTCCATGTCTCTAGGGATTTTAACAATCCTTGGTTTCAACTGAAGAATCTCAAAGTATCCCTTTAGAGCAAATTGTTTAGTTTAAAAAGTCAATTGTACCATGTTCTAATATCACTTTAATAAATATATATATATATATATATATATATATATATATATATATATATATATGTAGGTATGTATTTATGTATGTATATACTTTTAGAGTTACTTTGCAAGTTTTTTTTTTAAAAAATAAAAATTTAGAAAATTAAAGTCAAATAGTTTATAAATAAGAAGTTGTTCTAAAACCGGCCAAGTGTCATCAATCAAGAAGTTGGGAAGTTGAAGCTTACCACAATGTGGAGTCAAGAGACTTTCTCTACCATTAATTAAATAAAAAAATTAATCAAGAGTCAAACAGTTGACATCACACCATAAATTTATGTTGCAGTCTTCGGAAAAAATATATATATATATATGAATAACATCTCTCTCTCTCTCATTTTAGAATTTCATAATACCAGATGAACTATGTCTTTAAATGAATATAAAATGACATAAAATTGGTCAACCAAGACTTCAACAATAATAACTTCTTCCATTTTATTTTTTGGTACTGAGGAATCAAAACTGTATTCAATGTACGTGTTGGACACACACACCTCCACAATCAAAAAAATGAAGAGAGAGGATAATAAAATCAAATAAATTTATGTAAATGTCTAAAACCCTTGTATTGACTTGGCTTAAACAAAAGGCTGACTTTTGATTCAAAAACTCAAAGGGGAGGACAGAAAGTATCTGTCACCAAGTCATATACGAAAGTCTTCGCATGTGATCGATTTGTATTCAAGGCTTTATTTGGAACGTACATAGTACGTACCTAGCCCACTGAAGGGTGATATAAGAAAGATTACCAACATTTTTTTACTTTTTATTTTATATATATATATTTTTTGAGTTTGGGTAAACACTAACTCACACATTTAACATTATTTCTTGTTAGACTATAATATTCAACCTTCTCTTTAAAAAGTAGAGATATATTATACCATCGAATAACCAATTAGCTAAATTCTTAATTAGTTAAAGTGTTATGTTTGATTATTTATTGGGTAAACCTGTAAAAAATTCCGTTTCACCAAATCAGCAAAATACTCCATGAAATATAAAAAGAAACAAGTCAGTCATTATAGTTTTAAACGTAAGCAACTTGCCTTCTAAATTTGATTATGGATTGATTGTCGGTTGATGACATTAGGCATTTACCAAACAACCCATTATAATTAACTTTGTCTTAAAAAGCCAAATATATATATATATATATATATATATATATATCTAAAGGTAAAATTCTGCAAATGCCCTCCATTGTAAACTGAAGCCTTTGCCCTAATTAAATTCACCAAGTGTTTAGGAGACAGGTGAACCAGGGGTCAAAGGTTGACTGGCCTAATAGACTAATATCAGCTGTTACCATCACCTAATGGCTAAAGTCCACGTGGAGTTATGGAATCTTAATTTTGACATTTTTTTGTTTCTTTGTTTTTTTTTTTGTTTTTTTTTTTTTTTTTTTTTTTTTTTTGTGAAGGGGGACACACGGAAAACCAACCCGGCAATTTTACTTTATTTTTTGTGTGTGAAGGGGGAGAAATTACCAGACAATTTCTTTTCTTCTTCTTCTTCTTCTTCTTCTTTTTTTTTTTTTTTTTTTTTTTTTTCACTCCATGTTCCTACAGGCTAGCAAGGGCGTTGTGTGCATATACCCAAATTCTCACCGCCATGATTTATTTACGAAGTTGTATTAATTTATATATATATATATATATATATAGTTTTGGGTTTTTTGCAAAGACATTGTTATATTGGATTCCATATCCTGCTTTTGATTCTAGGTTTTTCGGGCTAATTTTCGTTCAGGTGACCTCTTAATTTCCTAGGTGGAGTACAATGGCGCACTTTGGAGGAAACATGGCATTTGATTATTTCTTATCCTTTATTGATCCAGCTAGCCTCTTTGATGATCAATTCATTTATTTCTTAGCTATTTTATGAAAAATTCTAGTTTCGATTTTCGAGTGTCAGTTGTAGGACATAGCTAGTGAAATATTTTAACCAGTGTGTTTTAAATACAACTAGCATTTCACTGGAGAAAGTAATAATCGATTTTTCAATTCTAAAAAACTTCTTAATGTTATCATAAAAGCCTACAACTGACCTTGAAAAGAGAGTAAGAGAGTGCAGATGCAAATGGGAGAGAATAGAGCATAGAAAGGGAGTGTAATAGATACATTGAAGGGTAATATTGTAATTAACACAGAAGTATAAGCCACGCGCATCTCAATATGGTCGGAAAGCAACCACCAATAAATTCAGATAACAAGTTGTTTACTTTTGAAATTTAATATGATAGGAAAACAACCACCAATAAATTCAGTGAATAAATTGTTTACTTTGAAATTACACATTCACTTTTATACCATAAAGTGACACACTTCTGTCTATTTATTAGTAAATCTGTCTGCCTTTAGGTGGAGAATGACGGATTGTCATGAAGCACGATCCCAAATCAAATGACTTGTATTGCTAGATTCGATTTGTACTTGGTTTAATTTGGCATTTGGCATATCTTAAGCAAATCCCTCCAACTGGTACGGTTTGCACTTGTATCTAAATTTAATATTATTAATATATATATATATATATATACATATATTCCAGACCTATTACCTATGCAAAGTAGTATGAGTAATAAAAAATTAAAATCTGATTAGCTTTGAAAAATCATCCGAACTTGCCTAGTTTAAGGTTAAAAAACATAATAAATAAATAAATAAAATTGCTTGAAATATTGACTACTCCATTTGTGTAGATAATATGTCAATTTTGTCTTGGTCTGTCTTTGTTAGTAGATTTTCTTCTGCTCTGTATAGGAGGGTGTGCCCTTATTTCGTGTTATTACAATTGATTGCTGATCAATAATTAAATAAAATAATACTAGTAAAATAGATTTGAGACCCAACCCATTAAATGATGCTTAATCTAGGTTGATATGCCGTGTTTCATCTATCTGTCTTCACTATGAAAAAAGGATTTTTGGGAGACATTCAACATAATACATGTCGGCATTTAAAATCCTGTCATGTGATATTAGGATTTAAGCATGTTCCTGCGCTCTCGGCAAATCCACCGCCTTCTATACATCCATATATCTAGATACACACACGTGTATATTATAAATAAAATAGTAAAGTGTAAAAACAAAAAAAAAAAAAAAAAAAGGCACAACTCTTCCCCTATTAGTAATAACCTCTTTGAAGTACAAAAGTTTGTAAATAACCCCTCAACTAACTATTTTAGTTCACCTGACTACCATTTAAAATTAAATGACCATATAATTCTTATGAAACTTAAAAGATCATACTGTCCTTCTTAATATTGTTAGACCCAATCCCCAACCAAACATGCCCTATATCTATATCCTCTAAATCCTTAACTCCATCTTTTACCTCCTGTTAGGTTTTGTCGCTCGAATTCGGTGTGTGAGTAGCATTCTGGTAGAAGTGAATTTATTCAAGTTATTTGGAATCAGTTCAACTTTTTTCTTGAACCAGTTAGACATGCAACCCCAATTGAACCAATTTAAGAAAAGTTGAACTAGTTGGATATGAAAGCCAGAAGACTTGTGGCAACCTTGTGGGCGAGTATGCCATGGGGTGGTGCAAGAGGCACTAGCAGGTTACCTGTAATGTTTCGTATTTTTTCTAGATTTTTCCTTAATTTTTGTTTTTATTATTTTTTATGCGTCTCGATTTGCGCGCCAGTGGGTCCCAGTGTTCTTCTCTAATTTATCTCATTTATTTATTTATTTGGTTAAGGCATTGATGTAAGCATGTGTATGTGATTGTATGGGAGATAATATTTTATAGCATGTTCGTGGTTAAAATTTGTAAGGAGGTCATTTTGGTAAACTTGGAAGGTCAAAGGAAGACCCAAATGTTGACCACATATTTGAGGGGACCAAAGGCCATTACGGGCCTCATTTTTCTTCTTCTTCATCCGGTCATGTCTCTCTCTCTCTCAAATCTCTCCTTTCTCTCTCTTTATTCTTATATATTCTCTACAAATTTCCAAAAGTTAGAGGAAGATTTAATCCAAACCGTAGTTAGAAAAGTTGTAGAGCTCTTCAAGGGCTACGTTTTGGTACCGGTCTTGCATGCATTTAGAGAGATTCGAGTTCGGGATCTAGGAGCTTGGTTATGAATGCTCAAATGTTGCACATTTTAGCACTTAAGTTAGGGTATTTTAGTCCATTCATCTATCTTACTTTCCTGTTTTAGTTCTAATTTGTGTTTTTATCTATTTCAGGTCAATAAGATTCAAACAAACTAAAAAGAGCCTCTTAACTCAATTTTGGAGTTAAGGAGAAGATTCAGAAGAAGTTAGAAAAACTGTGTTGTTCAAGTTTCGATCAATCGAATGAAGTCCCTATCGATTGAAGAAAGCTACAATCGATCAAAATTAAGGCGGTGCCAACTCAATGGATAAGGTTGCAAGCTGTCCAAAATATCTTGCCACGTCAACTTCGATCGATTGAAGTAAGTCTTGGATCAATCGAAGTCCAGTTTGATCGATCGAACCCCTGTTGGCAGTGAGCTATTTTAATTCCCGAGCGCGCCCGAACTCCACCAACTTTTATAGCTGCGAGTTTGCACCAATCAAAGGCCTTATTTTTGACTTGTTGCCTACTCCAA